CTCACGTAGTTTCTGTGTTTGGGTATATCTTGACGACATTAGAGCAATTCGCCTTAGTCCAGGCATTTTTTTTCTAATCTCAATAATAACTTTATATCTGTGCACTGCAAAGACGCATATTGTCGTAGGACTGTCTGTGTATGTGTGTGTGTATGTGTGTACGTATGTATGTATGTATGTGTGTGTGTGTGTGTGTCTTTACTGACTTTTCATCTCGAGATTTACAAAAGCTACAAGGCTGTAACTTTGGGAAGTTGATCTGCATGCATATGCAGGCCCTCATCCTCAAAATTGACGCTCCTAGCCACGTAGTTCCCACGTAGGGGCCAAGCTTTTTGTGGGTAAGATGCCAACTTGAGAACCTAAAAAGCCAAAAGGTTGGAATTTTAAGGGATCTTCCCCGTCTACGTAATTCTTAATGAGTCTAAATCGAGCCTCAAGGTGTGCGCGGTTCTCATGTACGGCCTATGAAAATTTTTGATGGGTAAGTAGCTAGCTTGGGAGCCAGGAAAGCTAGAAAGCTGAAATTTTAAGTGGATGGTTCCTGACAGTCCTGGTGGCCAGTCTCAATTCGTCTAGTCAGAAGCATCTTGCAGAAAAACCGATGCCGATAGCGATAAAAACCTGCGGGGAACTATGTAAAAAATACATCTTCGCGCCGGCAGTCGGTGTACTGGCCAATTTTAGATGTTACAATGTTTATGTGCTCATTTTCAAAGTTTTCATGCTTTTTTGATGATGGCAAATTTAATTTTCAGATTCGATGGCAAACTTCAAATGCGGAACCATCCATAACAGCAAAACCAGTACCAAGTGTTGAGCGGACACGAGCGGCTAAGCGTATTGCAGCTGAAAGTCTTGCCGAGCAGCTATCAGCTCAAAAAGCCAAGGCAGACGGACCTCCTGCTAGAAAACGACAGGTTGATACATTGCTTGTAATTTACCGTTTTATTTTTTCGCTAACTATGTAACTGGGTTTTTTTATGCCCCCAAATTCAAAGGTATAGTAGGAGGAAGATGGATTTTCTCCTCCTGTGTTCTGTAAAAGTCGAGATTTTTTTTCCTGTACTAGAAAAAATAAATGGCAACGCGCACCAGACTAGCCGGTGCGATCACGCGTTTTGTGCAATTCAGCCGAT